TTTTTACAAACATTGCTCATTGACCACCTTAAAACAAACATTTACTTTCTCCGTCAAATCCTTCGGAAATTTTACACTTTTCATCGGTAAAATTCGTGAGTTTTCGCTGTAAGAAAAATCTCATACACAGAAAGGAGCACGTTAGGAGTAATATCATCGAGCAGCAAGATATTGAAACGTGAAAAATGAAGGCCTATAAATTCCGGCGAGTTGAGTAGGTCGCTGGAATAGCGTGTGTCGGATCAGGATGTAGATTATAAGATTAACTCTAATCTTGAAATAATATACAAGCGTCGGAACGAGGAAGTTCCAACGGTGTACACTGGTTTTATCAAAACAGCAAGGAAAAATACATTTTTAGTGGCGTCGACCGAAACGAATACGTTATATGTGTTGTTCGTCAATTTCGAAATTTCACGGGTGTTATCCGATATGGACAGGATTATCTAGATATTTACGAGGATTGAAGAAGGGCGAAGAATAGATGCTGCACGGGGTAATTGTGACAGAGAATCTCGTTGGTGCGCTTGTCACGGCGTCTGTTTATTATTTCAAGGACCGAAATCCCCGAAATCGAAGGAACTTACAAACGAAACAAATAAATACCGAGCTTTCTTCTCTCGTTCCAATATTTTCGGGGTATTTTAAAAGATAACGTGACTAACAATATCATCTACAGAATTTTTAGAATCGTAAGTTTCTCGATTTTTAAAAATAAGCACTTGGTTCGATGGAAGAAAAAAAAAAAGATTCATTTCGCTTCTATTTGGCATTTTTTTGTTTTTTATTCCTTTGTAAATTGTTAGACGTATTTTTTTCGAGGTTTTATTTAAAACGAATTATTCAAAATTTTTTTAAATTGTGGAAACTATTTCATCTCCTTCTTTTCTCACTAAAAATTAGTTTTCATTTGTTATCCACATTATTTGCTTCTATCAAGCACTGAACACATATTTAAACCAATTGCATATTGAAAAAATACTATTAAAGTGATAAAATTAATGAGAAACATAAAAATTTATCTAATCCTCTTAAGCTTGATACAAAAGAGAAGAATGAAAATGTTCATTTCAAATAAAATAGCTGTGTTAAGAATAAAAATGGACAAAAAAATAGAAATTAACAATAATGAAATTAAATATTACTAAAAATAAAAATTAACAATAAAAATCTACGAATACTGTAAAATTTAAATGCTCTGTTCGTTAAACATTTCCAGTTAATATAAAAATTATTCGTTACACATTATAAAAGGGTATCTTCCTAATCTATTCTTCGAATATTTTCCAAGGATCCCTCGAATTCTCGCTACAAGCGCAAATACCTAAAATACCCTTCTAAATACTCTATTCCTTAAAAATTTCTAGTACCAAAATTTATTGCCTAATCCAAAAAATTATTCGTTACACATGAAACCGTATTTTGCCGATCTACTCTTCGAATTCTCTCGTAAAGCGCACGGTTCACCACTGAATTCATTTCCACGCTGGTAACGACTCATCATCGTTGTATACCATTCGGCTGCTAGCCGTTTATTTACAACGTGTTACATCGTTGGCATTCTTCTGTTACATAGGATCGTGATAAGTAGCGGCAGAGTCCATGTTTCCAACTCAGATGTTGTTTGTCGAGGAGACATCACCGATAACGCGACATCACTGCGGCACGGCCGCTTTTCCTCCGGGGACTGGCCTTGCCAAACAAACCACTCACCCTGCTCAGGGTGGAAGCTTATCCTCGTATAGCCATTCGTAGCTCTTTACACGTGTTCTCCGGTTAGCCGATCAAATAGGTAACCGATCTGTTTGCGGAGTTGTAGATTAAGAAACTATTCCGTGCGGTTTATTTAAGGGCCAGCTTTCGCGGCGAATTCGACAGAAATTACACGCTCCCCCTTGGGAGGGACGAAAAGGGAAAGAAAGAAAGAAAGAACGGCCCCGTAATAACGAAGAATACGAGGAAAATGATAAAAGTGATAGGAATCGTTGCATCGATTAACTCAGCGTAAACAATGCGTCGCTTAATGTCCCGTGGACGTGAATCATTGTGATGAAAGCAGTGCTTCGTAATTGTGCAATAATGATCTTGAAAAATACTAATCGACGTGGCATTGCACTGGTTTCCGCGAGCCTTATCAAAAGGTGAATCATGATCGGTAATGTTCTTCTATATTTCGCTTGGACAAAAATGTTCTTCAAATTTACTCGATAATTATTTTTTAAAAGAACGTAGTATCGATTTGAATAACAGATATTGTTTGATTTGTACGATTTAATTCGTTCCTCGAAACAGAATTTTGATTTTATCGTGTATTTATTAGAGCAGTTAATGAGTTCGCTGTTAAAAGATGAATGGAGTTTGAAAAATCGTGGAAAAAGTTGTGTTTCTGTAGTAGGAAAATGTAGAACGATGTGAAATATTTTCGAAATTGATTTATGAGCAATTGAAATTTCCGTTACCATTTAAACATTAATTCTAATTTAACTAATTCTCATTTTTTAATAAATCCAGATTTTTCAAAACCTAATTTCAGTATAATCTCCCTGACTTTTATTAACATTCGCTGTTTACGATTCAGCGTGATAGAAATATATCACAATTGTTCCTTTAATTGTTGCAAACTACATTCCATCAAGATCGAAATTTCGTTTAGACATAACTGCAGTTTCAGGACAGGTTGGTAAAATTATACTTGTGAACCAGTGTGAAATTTAAAGGTATTTCAAACACATTTTTCGACGAAATTTTAAACATTCGCTGTTTTTCTGCGCGCGACGCTTTATCGAAGATACTTATTTCGTGACAACGTTTCAGTCAGTTATCGCGTTGTAAACGAGCAATATTTAAGTTCCAGAGAGAAGATCCGAGATTTGAGCACGCCTACGAGAGAGAAATGGAGGTGGCAGATAAAGTCTGTTTTCCCTTTTAATTGGAACTTCCCTCGATTTACTCGTTTAAAACCGTCCGAGAACGTTGCGATTCCATGTATTTCGCGACGGACAATTTTAAATATCGCGCGGTTACGCGCGTTCTTCTCGTGGAATCGTTCTTTCAACTTTTTATACCACTTCTCGCGTAAACATTTGTCGGTACAGCGATTTGTCACGTACGATTCCAAGAGGAAGACTTTTTCTTGAAAAAAATGCGCGGCGAACGATTGTAAACCACTGAAAACATGCTCTTTTCCAGTTTCAAAGTTGCAACTAATCAAATGGTAGTTTCCATTGCGTATACTTTTATTGAGAATCTCAAATGCATATAATAAAAAATTTGCACGAACAAATTTCTTTGAAAAAGCAATGGAAGTTTTCAAATAATATTTTTAACATTGAATTGTTTTTTCATCTTCGTCAACTTTCGCTCCCTCGTTTATTTCTTTTACATATTCTGTTATAAAACATTTGGACGAAGGATCTTCGTTCTAATTGATGCTTCTAAATAATTCACACCATTGAGTACTATAAAATACCATATAATGAGAAACTCTAAATACGTATCGTTAATGCAGCATTTCATCGAACAAATTTCATTTGCTCGCGTTCCTTCCGTAAAGCAATTTTCACTTGCTCGTAAATACCGAATTACGAGTGGATTATGTATAAAGTATTATCTGGCCAGTCACTCCCTTACAATCTTCACTCTCAAAGACCTCCCTATGTCTACGAGGCGAATGATAATTATTTATAGTCGACTAAACCAGACCTAAAATTCCCCTCCGTACACCTAAAACATTCGAGGATTTTGAACATTGCACACACCGTCGCGTCCGAATACGCGCGCGATTTTCGCCTATTTTTAAATTCCAACCCCTTCGTAAATAATATCCTTGTTGGTCCATACGACACTGGCGTCAGAGCGCGTCTTAAAGACGGCCAACATGCGAGGTTAGGCTCGTAACACAGTTGGCAATATCCTGGAAGAGTGACACGCGCGTCTTCGTGGCCCGCAGCCGGCAAGCGCGGCACTAAATCAGCCCGAGTTACGCGCCGACTAATTGTGAACCGCCTCCCTCCTCCTTTGCCGCCCCCGTGGAAACCAAATATAACTAAACGGAGCGAAACTAAACGGCCAGGCCGATTAACTTCTCCGTTGGCTGGCTACACACCACCGACAGACAGCTCACACTCGCCAGCCCTATTCTCGACTGCAGCTCGTTCAACCTGAAGAGATCTCTCTCTCTCTCTTTCCTCCCTCTTTCTCCATTTTTTGTTCTCCTTGCTTCTTTCCTTCACTCTCTCTTTCTCTGTCGCTTTTTTCCCCTGTGACGATAGCGTGGACCGATGCGGATAGATAATCCGAAGGAGAAAGAACCCGGTTGTTAATTACACGACGAAATAACAGTGTTCGTCGAGATATCCTTATAGGCTGTGAGAAGTGTGTTCTTTTACCCATGTTGCTCGAAAACACGAGGCTGTCTTTCGAATTACGATTGTGTTTTTTATCGTTGAATGAAACATTTTTTGCATAGTTTGTTGAACCCACTTTTCGAATATTACACTTATTTCTAACAGAACACTATTGTAGGGACCGAAGAAAAATTTGAAGGGCCTTAAAAAAACAACGGGGACTCGAACCCGCGACCTCAGGGGTTGCAAGCCGGAACTCTGCGCACTACCCCAACGCGTCCACTGTATTTTCTCCTTCTTGCTCCTACATGTTGGATGTAAAGTCCCCGATTCCACACTGTTTATTATACTACAAAAGACAGACAACGTAGAAAAAACTACACGAAACTAAGTGAATTAAAGTAACACAACAAGTACACCGGGAAAAATAAAATGACACTACATATACAAGATCGTGTAGATTTTCGTAGAGGTCGTCTAGATATGTCGGGTATATTAATTATACAGTATAACTTCATATCTACGCTCTGAAGCTTCAGTTTGTCGTGTTAGCGGTTTCGCGAGGTCTCTGATTAATAGCGAAATAAGTTAGTAAATAGCGGTGATTACGGAAAGCTTAGACGACGTTGCAAAAGGGTGTGATGCGTTTTGCAGTATGTGCACAGGGCGACTTCCGGGACGAGGTAACCGGGGGTTTGGCGAGGCTCGATTTGACGGGTCACGGAACTCACACTCCCGGTGGAAGCAACCCTAGTACACCGGGTGCGACACCCACGACACCCTCCGGTGGATTTTCTACCGCACAGCCCAGGTCCCGCACGAACATGACACACAGGCCGGATATCCGAAAAGGTACGCCTCGCCACTTTACGAGCAACTTTTCTAACCCACACCCCTTTTCATCCCTGTTTATTCGTTTTAAACGGATTCGTGTTTTGACCGTTCTTCTTTTTTTTTCTGCTTTTCTTTTTGCTTCAACCTTTATCCTCGTCCGTATTTCGCTTCTTGATGATCGAGTAAAGTGATCCGTTAAGGCTTGTTCATCTTCGCAGGGATGTTTTGCTTCGTGCAAAATTCCAGTTGAGTAGAGATAGTTCTGTTGTGCCAATTGTTGTAATATTTCGTCCAGTTTTTCTCTGTAACAACAGAATTTTGGTAATTGCATGCAGTTTCCTGCAGGATTTAAGCTTGACACAAGTGGATGTTGGTTGTTGAGAAGATCTGAGATTTAGGTGTTGCATAGGATTGCAGTGATCGATGCAAAGGATCTAAATGAGATGCGTAGGAGTTGGTTAAGGTTTTTCTAATAATTTCATTTAAAAATTAACCAACGAAGCGTAAAACTCTAATTCCGTTCACCAGCTAAACTCGTCTACAAGGAATTTTTATAAATTACAAAACAACACTTCTCTATCATATTACATTTTAATTATACAGATATTTCATTTAGAAGAGAAATATTTCCCCTCGTATGGAGCAGCTAATTCGAGTTTACAATTTCACTTACAACCCAATAATCGCGCGTCATCTTTCGCGCGAGCGAAGACAGAGAATTGGCGCATCAATGAAGTAGAATAGCGTGGTGGATTCTGATGGATACGATCTCAGTTTGGTCGTCTCACGGACTGTGAAATCAAATGATAATAGAGAATGTCGTGGGCTGGGTGCAGCGCGAGAAAGGTGAGGAAAATGCTGGCGTCGTTTGTTTGCAGGTTTGTTCGGCACTTAGCCGGCACTCTCGCAGCCGCCCCAAATCCCCGCAAATTGAAATATCTCCCGGAGTCTTACGGGCCTGGTTAACAACAAACCCCAGGGACGGATCTCGCTTCACTCGTTGTAATCCGGAGACGAGGGCGAGGCCTCTCTTGCTTCTTCACGCGAGTCCAGCACGTTCCTCTACTTCCTGCCAAACGAACCTCCGAAGGTTCTTTCAATTTCAGCCTTTTCGAACGGTAACTCGTGTAACTTGGTGAAATTCGTCGGATTTTTATGCAGTAGGACCCCGTTTGAAAAAAGAAGAACATAAAATTCTAAATTTGTAATTTTGTAATTTAGGGTTAATTAAATTTGACCCGAAAAGCGACGTCGCTGGAACTTAATTTGTATTATACTTCCCGCGTTATAGAGGGTCCTATTGCACTCTTTCGTCTTCTCAAGTTATCCAACGATGTTTATTCGAGAATGCACTACAATTTTGAAAAGTTTGAAAGTAAAATTGTTTCTTCTTTTAGTCGCAGTGTTAGATCGCTATCGAGCTATACTTTCTTCTGTCATTTCGTCGTAAATATTTAGAATATCGATAGGAACATAATGGGTGACCTAATTACTTACGAACAGCAGCGTATCTGCTCGATTAACCTTAGTGCGTTCTCTGGGTGAAAAAAGACCTAAAGCCGATGTGAACCTGGACAATAAATTTTCGATACAATACCAAGCGAACGTAACCTTGATAACAGCAAAAGATGCCGAAGACTGCATTAGGGTTAAACCGAAACTAAAATTTCTCAGGATAATTAAGGACACAAAGGTGTCTCGATACGGTCGTTCCTTCGCGACGTCTCTATTTTATCTTCGATCTGGCTGGAGTATCTAGTTCCAAGAAAATGGTTAAATCCCATGCACCACATTGCGAGCCCCGGGTAGATTAGGATGATGCTGAATAAATTGAAACATGGTGATAAAGACATCGAAAAGGTCTCGGTGTCGCAACGTGGCCTGGTATCGGTGCGACCGGTTGTGTATGTCGGTTCGCTACCTCTGTAAATAGTCGTTTCTAGCTAGAAGATAGTTAGCGGCATCATCAGACGCAGTGATAGCGGTGCTCTTTGAAAAAGGAGGCAATCGATCACACGGCTGTCAATGCGAGTAAGGGAAGCTGGCGATTTGCTGCTGTGGAGTCAGGGGTGGAATACCCTCACCTGTCACTGTCACGATCATGACAAACACATTCGTGTTATTCTCGAACGGCCAGCCGTGGCAGAGATTACCGATCGAACGTTCCAAACGATTCACGATCGTTCAACTATGGACATCGATACGCACCTTTACGTGTTCTGTAATAAAACAAATTACCTTCTTCTTAAGTCAATTTTATTGTACTTTGGAAGATTTTGATGATTGATTTGTGAAAAAGTGGGAAATTTAATGGACAATTGAATGGGGTCATTTAAAAGAACGATTTATGCGACATTTACTTACCTGGTTTTCAGGAAAACGATAGAAATGATCTCGTTCTGATAATTCTTGCTGTAAAGATCAGTGAAATATTTATTGTTTTAAATGGAAGGATTGTACATTGTTCTGATAAGTTGGGTAACTAAATTTCTAAATTTTGGATATGCTTCTTTAATTGAAATTGAAAGAGGTTACTTGGACGAAATTAAAATTTTAACAATAATGATAGCGCTTTTGAGGAATCGTAGTATGTCGATAATTATTTAAGAATATTTTATTTTACTTGAAAATCCAAATTTAACGTCCTGACAGTGTCTGTTATGTCATCGAGGTAAAATACATATGGTCAATACTTGAATTATCTATTTCATACTTATAAATAAATTCAGTAATACCTTATGCAAGTAGAATCAAAAATTGGAAAAATTTATTTCGCCGTTTGATTTTGAATTTAATTTGATATTTGCAATTTGCGACGAAAAGAGGCTCGTTAGAGGGAAGAATATAGTGAATTTTATCAGCGATAAAATTCTTTGTTTATCGTATTACAGGCTAATTTTTATCACGTGCAGGAATAGATATAAGTAATATTTATCGAGTTTTTTAAAGGCTTCAAGGGATAGAGGCCTTAACCTGGAGGCCAGTGTACATGAAATTAAGTTAACCAAACGTTAACGAGCTCCATTATAGTGTTTAACTTTCTATACGAGATTCCGTACTACACAGTCTTAAACGAGCAGAGCGAATGTTTAATTATTTTTACACCTCGTTAACGATAGAACAAAATGTACGATAGGACCTCCGCTATTGAAACTAATGGAGAAACATGATTTATCTACTTAGAGACTTTTTTAACATCATTCAAGTTTTGTAAGCTATTTTAATTTTCTGCTTTTATTTGAAGCTTCTTTCTGAAAGCTTCACTCACTTTGGAATACTAAGAAACATCATTTTTTATACTATTCTTATTCAGATTCTTATACAATATGGCTACTATTTGAACGATCATTCTTATCACTTGACAACAATAATTTGCCATCGATCTATCACGCATACAATATATACAAAATGTATAGTGTACACACAGACCTTTTTATTTTCGTATTTATTTACTGACATTAATCTCCCCAATATCAAAAAACACTCTAAAAATTGAAACAAAGTAATAACACTTTGGAAACCATAACGACCAGCGAATATTTATGTATATTTTATTAGAATCGTTAACAGAATTTGTCTTTCGCCAAAAAACAAACGAGACATGGTATTACAAGAATTTTCAAATAATAAAACAATCCATTGCACATTTCGTACCTGTGAATTTTCCAATATTTAAATAATTTAGAAGTAATTGGAAATCTCGAAGATTTTCTCTTCATCAAAAATTCTCTCGATAAATTTCCCTCGTTACAGTGACCTATAGTTATACGAGAAGCGCGTGATTTAATTGATTAGCTGTAAAAAAGAAAAAAAAGAGGCGACAGAGTGAATTTTCTTAGAATAAGCGTCGCTTTTTTCTAGCGAATGTGATATCTTAACACGTTTCAGATGTTGGGACACCAACAGAGGTGAAACACGAATTGGGAGCCGGCGGAGGGGTGGTCTCACCCGATGGTGTGGTTGGGGTAAACAACGCGGACGATAAGGACGGAAAGAAGAACAAACGCCAAAGGCGGCAGAGGACGCATTTCACGTCGCAACAACTTCAGCAGCTGGAGTGTTACTTCACGAGGAATCGGTATCCAGACCTACCGTCCAGGGAAGAGATATCTCTGTGCACAAAGCTTGCAGAACCTCGAGTCAGGGTGAGTGACAATATTATTATTAAAAACCTCTTTATCGCGGACAAAAGAAAGAAGAATTGAAGAATCTTAAGGATCAGACAACTCGAAATCTACTCCGTGTTCTTTTTTAAATTGTTCTAAACTATTGTACGATAAAAAATATTCTATCTATCGTTCCGGTAATTAACTGGAATTAATTTTTAATTTTTCATTAATTACCAGGAATTAATTTTAATTGATCGAGTAAGATTTTTTGGATAAACGAGTAAATAATTTATTCGCGTTATATTTCCACGAAAAATACACAATTTTAGTGCAATTGTGCAATGGTAAAGGATTTTAGTTAAAAGTAAATAAATATTGAGAATTTTAGGCAACCTGGTCTATTGTGTAACAAACGTAAATGAAGTAAATGAAGATTGTAATAATACAAAGAGGAGTTAAGAAAGATCACGAGGTGTTTAAAAATATTATTATCTTGAATTTTGATAATAAGTTAGTTTATCGCGTTTTACAACGGAGAACTTTTATCGTGACAATTTAAATCGTTATTTATCCTAGTGAATAACTAGAAGACCAAATAAATTGTCAATTAATCATCGTAATAGTCGAAATACAGTTGAAAAAATAGCTCGAATAAATATTCCATCAAATAGTTAATTGTGCCATTTATTATTCAACGAAGATCAATGCACATTTTCAATTCACCATAAAAACCAAATGATCCATAATTCTGTACCGCGAAAAATCTACAGAAAAAATCATGTCCTTAGCGAATCCGACGATAATGAGTCAGTCTACCTGATGACTAATTACTTTTGACAGAAACTGAGAATTATATCGACAGTCGACGGTTTTCGCCGAATTTCTCGTTATTGTCGAAAAGTAACGTATTGCTATCGGCGTTTCCTCGCGTTATCAGCCAATCGTGCACGAACGTTTATCGATCATACACGTTTGATTTCGGACAAACAATTTCCGAGTAACAGGAAATTCGGTGCATTGTCTCATTTCTAGCGAATTAGTTTCTAAACATGTTCTGAAACGTTTGTGCTCGAACATCGAATCGGAGTGGCTTATAAACTCGAGCTGATCAAAGTAGCAAGAGAAACTTACAATGGACGCATTGATGCGTTGAAGTATCGATTACAAAGGCAACAATTCATGCTCTTTCTGCCAGATACCTCGAGGTCTCGTGTCTACAGACGCGACTCGTGATCGGGAAAATGGCATTTCTTTGCCTACCGATTTTGATAGTTTCAAGAAATAGGCGATCTTCAATTTTGTGACTGTCGACAAGTACGGTTTAGCGTGTTGGACGTTTAGAATGTTGTTCTTAGTGTATCTATTCTACGTTATTAGTGAAAAATAGCACTTGTATTTTTGTAAATTTGATCCATATGCGCGAATAAAATCTATGGATTTACTTGAGGGAACTTTATTTAAGATTTCTTGAAAAATCATTTATTTTACGCAGTAAGCAAATATATTACTAATTAATTTTAATTATTTCAATAGAAAAAATACGTTTCTATCGCAAGTTCCAAGATGCAACTTCGATTTATTATTTATCAAACGTTACATTCCATTTTTTTGTTTATTAAGGTATAAAACTTAGCTCGGGAATACTTTGCGATAATAATTCGTCGGAAATCTTTAGACTGCTTCGTTGAAGATAATATAATTCAGTTAAAAATCCGAAGATTAACGTTGAAATTTTTGCAAACCATACTTTCACTATTTTAATTCCAATTAATATTTAAATTTTAACTGAAAACACAGGTAAATCTCCGGGATCTTCTTTAGAACCCGTCGGATTTTCCGAATTTTAACATTTGCAACAAATCCCGACGATCACATGTAAACAATCGCAAACTATGCACACACCGTTGTGATTTTCCCTTGGTGCGTTCAAAAAATCAAGTCACGAAACGTGAAGAAAGGTCGAAAGAGGGAAGAAAAATGTCGGGACAAACAATAATAAGCATACACTGGTATGGTGAACGGGGGAATAAATTCACCGCGAGTCGTTTCGCACTGATAGGCGAGCAAACGAGGCGAATCCATGGCTCGTTCCGCAGTTTGAGCTGGATCAAGCCTCCTAGGACATGCTTCTCGACTTGACAATCCTTGCGGTTTCGTGCGTTTCAGCAAGGCCTTTAGGAGAACGGTCATATCAGCAGATGAGAGCTCGGACGAGAGAACGTAGGGATCGTTGGGCTGCTGGAAGAGAAACAGGGATGGAAGTGGGCAGGTATGAGGTCACGTGGGGTTGCGCAGCTCACAAGGGAAGCTTTGCGCTGGTAAGCCCTTCTGGATTTATAGAACCACACAGAGCATGGCACGGTATTCCCGCCACGCTGCTATACGCCATGTACCAAAATGCTGCGGATCCCAACTATCGTGGAACCACCGATGCATTCGCGAATTTTAACGTTCTCATCGTGATACACTTCGTTTTTTCTTTTGTTCGAACGTGATATAAGGCCGGGAATATTCTCTGGGATCTTTTCCAACGAATATCGATTAAGCAAGGATATTATTGCGGTAATAATACCCTTTTTTTATTTTTTCGTCAAATGTGCTGAATTGTGAAATTGGAGAGTAACAGGAAAGAGAGAATTTAATTACAGAAATGTCGCTTTTTGATTTTTGTTTTTTTGGTTTTCACGTGAGGCTGATATCTTGAATTCTTTAAATGAAATGTTATTAATAGAGGACGTTGTTGTTAGGCATATCGCTTTCAGAGAATATTTCTTCTTCCTCTGAAAAAGTATAGTTACTCACTTCGAAATTTCTCACATGAATCGTTAAACGTTTGTATAAAATGCTCGATAAAATCTTCTCTACTTTTGGTCTACATCAAATCTCCTCAGCACTGCGTAAAATGAATTCTTTCTCGTCTTGTCGATTACATCCTCTGTTTCATCGCATTTGTCTTAACAGTACAATTTTTCTAAAAGAAACGTCGCACAGTATACGATCGCTAATAACCAAAATATTGAAAAAATAAAATTCTCCACTGTGCGTCGCAGAGAAATCAGTTTTTTCTTCGTACATTGACGATCCATCTTTCTCAAAGAATCGTCTCAATCATCTCAAAGGAAATTTCAATTAAAATCACAATTCGCAAAACGCGATCCACGCTCCTATCGCTTCAAAATCGCATCCACGGAAACGAATCGCGATGGCTGTCGAATCCGTCGAACCGTACGGTCGCGTAATGTCGTTCTTCGCTGAAAACTTGTGTCGTAACACGTACCTTCGAACAGGGGAAATTTACGCGAACCGATTTCGGCGCATTTAGTCAATTCTAGCCGTGGCATTACGCTTAATTAATCCCGACGCAACATTTAATGCTCGCCGATAAATGCGTGAAAGCTTATCTATTTTGTCCGCGGATTTGCCGGCATTTCGAGCGATATCTGAATGGGTGGTCGACGAGCGAGCTAGTCCGGTCTGGTTACCAGGAGGAACGAAAGAACAGGTTGAATCGTTCGATCGATTCGGCAAAATCCGTACGCTACATCTTCCACTCGATATTTCCCACTGTATCGTTCTTATATTTCACGCTCGAGTCAGCGGAGTCGAGATCCCGTGGCCGCGAAATATCCGTTCGCCCGATAACGCGGTCGCGTAAGCCAGCCTCACCTGGTTCTCATCGATTCGCGGCGAACCAATGAATAAGAAATCTCACCGAAGGCTCTTTCTAACCGAGGGATTCGATTTTCACCGTAACACTGTGCCGCCTTTTCCCCCCATCAATTCATACCTCGAACGCGCGCTACCGGTCTCTTCTGCGGGCGAATAAAAGATCCGCAGACATCATACGAGAGAGGATGAGGCGTAAGAAAAATGGAGAAAGAGGAAGACACAGTGTGTGCACTGGTGAACAGGGTTTGTGGAGAAAGAACGAGAGTGAAGTGAGAGAAAAGGAGAAAGGAATAGAGAGAGGGAGAGAGAGAGAGAGGAGGTAGGTACAGTTATCTGCAAAGAGGCAGGCGTATGTTTCGGTCGGTGGCAGCAGAGCGCGGCTGTCCGAGATAATCCGCCGGTGATTAAGACCATAAATCCATCGGCGGATTAGTATGGTTGCACCGCACACCGCGTGGCGGCGTCGTTGCACGAGACTCTCTCTATGCTGCAGCCTCTAGCTGCAAGCACGCTCCAACCCCCTCTCACACACTCTCTCTCTCTCTCTCTCCATGTAACCCCTTTCTCATACCCTTTCTCTCGGTGCATTCTCTCTGTTTCTATCTAACTCTATCCTCTCTGCATCGTTCTACCTTCTTCCACCACCCTGCTTCTATCGCGACGGACACACGACACTGATCCGTGTTGGTATACCTGCCGGAGGGAGAGAGAAGAGTAGTGGAGAACGAAGTGGAGCAAGGGAGAGAATGCATACGTGTAATGTGCAGTGAGAGGGTGTAGCCAGAGGGACAGAGGAGGAGTGAGAGAGAGAGAGAGAGAGAAGTTGAGCTTACACGCCATGGGAATGGGAAATGGGACGCCACGGAATATAGGTGGACACTAACCGGTATGAGAGTGAGGATTACCGGGTGTCATCCGTATTCGGCCGGGTTAGCGGCTGTCAGCGGCCAATGCCATCGCTATATATCAATTATTACCTTTGCCATTGCAACGGCTGGTTGCATTCCAATGCACGCGTTGCGCTGCACTGCACTGCGGTCATCCGGTACATATCTCTTCCATAGGCCGATTTGCATCCGGTATGCGAACCGCCCTGCTGCCTACTCCTCTCTCCCTCTCTCTCTCTATCCAGGCATGTAGCTTGCCTTCGTATCCCTATAGCCCCTTCTGTCTCGCTCTCTTTTTGCACACACACCGGTGTGCGGTGTACGACTGTCGCGTACCACCGAATTCCGGTTATACGCGGGGTTTAACGTCGAACCGTTGTTGGCAGCCGAGCTCCACACTTGCCAGCTCGTAAGTTCTCGTGTGCACAAAGGCTCAACACGGCTGTCTTCGGGATTTGAGCCGCGGCGGGCGCCGCTTGC